GCCGGCGATGGTTATCGCCCTGTACTTGCCTGTATTCCCGCCGGACCGAGCTCTCGGAAAATTTCTATCCCGCATGATTGCCTGGCGGGAGAGAAAAAAAGGGGAAAGAGGGAGGAGGAGAGACCGAGAGATGGAACTTTTGAGACGCTTTAAACGACGTTCTGAATGTGAAAAAGAGGAAAGGCGCGAGCGCGGCGGGAACAAGAAAATCCTATATTCGCTCGCGATGACTCTCTTGCGTGTCTTCTCTTGATTCCCTCGCGCTGATACCGCGTACTGCAAGTATCTGCACTGATGTTCGCGTAACACGGCAGGAACGAGATACATTCAGCAAGAATAATTAATTTTACTTCTTCCGACTCGGGGATCTGGAAATCTCTCCTTGGCACGAAAGATTAAATAAAACTCTTCGGCGTTGGGCCTCCGCGAGATTGAGAAATTTATTCCGAGTTTATCTGTCGGATGTTTGATTGACAATAATATCATACTCGATAAAGATATTTAAAATGGGACACGCTCTTACATTTTTCATTTGTTGCTTATGTTAAATTGTTAATAAATAATAATAATATTCGATAAATGATAAGAATGATTGCATTTGTTGTGCATGTCGAAAGTAATTTTTTCCTCCAAAAATTTCAAACAAAATTACGATCAAATGTAATATAAATTGTTGTAAAATAAAATACCATCGCGATATCGCTTCGAAATCATCAGCGTCGCACTTTGAACATTATTAACTTTTATTACTACATTTAAATATGTGTAAATAAAAGTATTATACGCAATTATATAATTATCTTAATGATGAAATTTAATTTTTTTTTTTTTGCCAAGTTGTAGCGTGTAATTTTTATTTATTACTTGGCCTTGCGTCAAGAACGTATATATGCGCGCCATAATTATATTTAATAAAAAGTCATTAAATGTAAAAAATTAGATTCGCACTAACTCTTCCGTAAGCGGTATAATTTTCTGAGATAACCGTCCGATCACAAAGCGATGTGTGCATTTTATCGCACCATTATTAATTACAATTGCGAAATGCGGTGTCATCGAAAGAGAATATCATCCGAGAGCATTCCTTTCCGAGTCGAGAAGAGCGTAAAAATGTCTGTTATCATTTGGACTATGCAACACACATTGCTTTTTCCGATGACTACGACTCCGTTAATCGCTCACTGTTCCCCACCCGCGGTTGTAAGCGCGATAATGCTTTCCGGGATTCTTTTTTTAGCACGAACGACCAAAACTAGGACTTGAATTACTTGACGTCCGAGAGAAGCGGAGAAAAACAGACAGAGAGAGAAAGACAGAAACAAACGGGCTTTTCTATCGGACTTGAACAGATTTGTCTTTAAATGCGCGCCATAGCTAATTAATCGAATCAGCACCCATAATGGATGCGCAATTAGCAAGAAGTGTCCTAAAATCGCGTTTGAGTTTTTCTTTTTAAATCGGGCTCTATTTTTAAGTTCCGCTTTTATAGATTTCACAATGCTTGAATCCATTTTCTATTAAAAGTAACCGTTTAACTAGACATGTTTTGCCAGTTTCTTTTTCATTAGAAGTAGCTCTAAATGGAACCGGTTATTTCTGTGTATAATGAGTAAGCTTTTTTTTTTTTTTTGTAAACGTACAGAAAGAGAAGAGATGGCATAAGATTTTATCGTCATTTAAATAAATTTGGAATAAATGTGGTTATTCTTCGCTTTAAAGCGTTACAAAAATTGGAGAACTTTATAACCATCCTACGTATAAATATGCGATGTTTAATTTTAAATAATGCGAAAATGTACGATATGTAATTTCCACAGCGTAAACTTTTATTTGCTCGCTGCTAACCACAGGTTTATTACAATTTAATTGCTCTCCTTTTGATACGCAATTGAAGCGTGAAACAAATGTTCGCGAGAAAGAACTAATTTATTATGATAGCATTGAATATTTGTGGGAACAGTTTTCGGCCGATCATATATCAACGCGACAGACATGGAAATTAATTTTTGGCTTATAAATATTATGTCGCGATGTCAAAGGGCTCGAAATATCCTAGATTGAATTGATTACCACATTCACGAAAAATCAACAACCCCACATTTCACCAAAACGAAGATGTACATTCACATGCGAAATTATATTATTAAGTCTAAATTAAAATCATTTTACACTCGCAAACGGTAAAAGTATTTATTCATCACTATCAAAGATCTGTATACTTACAGATATCACGATATTATATGTTCAATAACATATAATTATATATATGTAGTTTTTGCTTTTAATTAGCATAATGTTACATATTTATAAAATTTTATATATATATATATAAAATATCTTTCGAGAAAAGATCTTGCAAGTCGAGCAGAAATATAAAATATAAAAAAATTTCTTTAATATAATAATATGTTCGAAGCATATAAATGTATTAAAATCTTCAAAGCGAACCTCACAAAGCGTAAAGCTTTTTTTATTCGTCCGCTAGCTATAGTCGATTGACGTCACGAAGCAGATATATACCTAAAACGATGATCATGCCTCGACGTAGGGCGGAGTTCGAGCTCGATGACAAGCGATATTTCGGACATTGGGGGGCGGTGGGGGGGGAGGGGAGAGGGGGAGGATTATGCGAGGATTAC